TATTATAAAGGAAAATTTATTTACTCCAATGTTGCTTTTAAAATGCTTGATTTATTAATAAAATTAATTCTTTTTTTTGTTTGTGCTTTGTTGATACCTAAAAAGGCAAATAATTGTCATGCACGTGATCAAAATGTCTTACCTGGGGGTGGGGGAGTAAGTGCTACTATTAAAATGATATTAGCTAATATATGTTAGTGCCCTTAGAAAAAACTGTTCCATTGCCATTAGATTCTATTTCTCTTGAGAAAACTTGAAAATTTGCTTGAAGGTCTTAGAAATTTATGGATGCTTATATAAATATAGAGAGCTTGTTATTCATCTTTGGGATCTTTTTCCTCTTTAGGTATTGTGGGTGCCTCCCCACAGAAATCCTCTTACTATAATTCCTCTCCCTATTCTGTTCTTAAGGACTAAGCAGTAACCCCTTCACTAAGGGGATTATTGGCCTGGATATTAATTCTTTCCTGATAGTGGTAGAGACAATGGATTAATAGGCCTATCAGCTTATATACAGTAAAAGATCAATCATATGCATATCTCATTATTAGAACATATAAGAATTTCCTAGCAAAAAGAACCTTCAACCTCATCTGATCAAATTTGTGTTTTTCACATGATATTAATCCATAACATAAAGATTATAATTAGTAAAAATATTAGTTTGGATAATAAAAAAATGGAGAATTGTAGTTATTAAAGACTAGTGCCGTAATCCAAAAAAGGAAAAAGTATGGTTGCAAAAGTGGTCACAAAGGTAATTGTGACCACTTTTTATATGCTGTAAATACAATTACTACCATCATCATAATTTATGGCACTAGTCTTTAGTCCAAATTCCATATATAAATTTTGTCATGTAACAATCTATCTAAATTTAGATACACACATTGAGTTACTCCTTACTCAAATATAACTATTTTTATTATTGCTTATTTTGTTCCACTGCTTGAAATTATTGTTTTTTCTGGGTTGTTTAACTATAGTCTTCTGACTATACATGTTGTCAAAACTAATTTGGCTTTGACTAAGGTTGCCTGTCAAAACCTCTGCCAAAACTCTAACAAACAATTAGTGTGTAACCCTGCCCAAATGCCAAAACTCTAATAAACAATTGCGTGTAACCTGCTGAAGGAGTTCTGCAAGCAGATCATAGCTTCCCAAATCTCAAAAAAGTCACCTGATTGGGTCAAGTGATCAACCTATTTCTACTATATACATGTATACTTCTGACTTCTACATAGTTTTTCTTTAGGTTAGTGGTACTATCTCCTACTGTCTAAACACCTCCCAAATTAGATGATGGATTTCCAATAGAAAATCTACCTGCATTATTATAATATGTTTTATTGTCACGTGAAATACTATTGATGATCTTCTTAATTTCAAATATGGAAATTACTTTTTGTTTTTTTTAACAAGTTGATTTATAAAAATGGCATTTTCCGGAGCTGTAATTTTAAAAGATCTAAACGATTTTATTGCACCTTCTCAAGCTTGTATAAAACCCGTAGAGATTAACAAAACCTCTGAATCAAATTCAGTAAGTTATAATAAATAACTATTTGTCTAATTAGTTTTATTATTATATCCTTATTCTTAAGCAATCAAATTATCATCTTGATAGAACGTTATAAAAATTGATGGTTCAGGCGAGTATTATGAAGTTTCGCAGGAAGGACTTGAAACTAAACTTAAAACAGCAAGCATAACATTAGACGATTGTTTAGCTTGCAGGTAATTGAATATTTTCATTTTTTTATTTCAAAAGGATCTGTTGATTAATAGTCACTTTTTTTCCACCTCAAACAAAAAATAAAAAAATTAGTGGATGCATTACTTCGGCTGAAAGTATCCTTATAACAATGCAATCTCAAGAAGAATTATATAATGTATTTAAAGCAAATAAACAAGCTATGGATGAAAATAAATTAGAAAATTATAAGACTATAGTGGTTTCTATTGCACCACAATCAAGAGCTTCTATAGCAGCAAAATATGGTCTAACACCATTACAGGTACCTTTAAATTTCATTCAATTATAGTAGAATTAGGTAGTTGTTGACTTTTTGTTTTTGCGTGATAAATGGCAGATTCACTGATCAAAAAATGGATAAAAAATATGCATTAAGGTGGCTAAACGTTTAACGCACTTTTTCAAGTCACTTGGAGTTCATTATGTATTCGATATTTCGTTCTCACGAGATTTTTCTTTGTTGGAAAGTGCACGTGAATTTGTTCAAAGATTTCGTGACTCTCAACAAGAAAATCAATCATATGATAATAACAACAAAGAAGGATCGGCTGGGACAAGATATGGAAATAATAATAATAATAACCATTCGCAGCAACAAAAATACATGCCTATGTTGGCTTCAGCATGTCCAGGTTGGATTTGTTATGCTGAAAAAACTCATGGGTTTGTTTTACCATATGTTAGTCAAACTAAATCACCACAACAAATAATGGGTGTCTTGGTTAAAGATTACCTGGCAAATAAGCTTGGAATCAGGTAAATTTTAAATATTTTTGTTGATAGAAAGGAATCTTTTCATTATAATTGGTTAATTAATTTGGATTTAAATTTGAAATTTATATATACACATAGACCAAATAATATTTATCATGTTGATGTAATGATGTGTTATGATAAAAAACTTGAGGCATCAAGACCAGATTTTTTTGATGAAAATTATCAAACCAGAGATGTTGATTGTGTAATCACAACAGGAGAAGTCGTCAAAATGTTTGAAGAACAGAATTTCAATATTTCGGAAAGTCCTGAGGCATCATTAGATTCTTTTAGTAAATTATCAGAAGACAATGAACAACTTTTAAGTTCTGGTGGGTCATCATCAGGCGGATATTTAGAATTTATTATGAAATATGCAGCCAGAGAATTATTTGATATAACAGGCATAGATCCAGACAAAGAACAAGGTGTTGTGGTTAAATATGGCAGAAATAAAGATTTCAAAGAAGTGACACTCGAGGTACATAAATTTAGATGAGTGAATTAAATCATCTAGTAGTTTAACTAATTTAATAATTTTTTCAATCCAGGTTGAAGGAAAGCCATTGCTTAAATTTGCATCAGCATATGGATTTCGTAATATACAAAATCTTGTTCGTAAGGTTAAAACTGGTAATTCACCATATCACTATATAGAAGTTATGGCTTGTCCATCTGGATGTATAAATGGTGGTGGACAACTGAAACCGGGTGAAACAATTCCAATAAAAGATTGGATTAACAGTGTCAATAATATTTATCATGCAATAGCATCAAAATCACCAGAAGAAAATGATAAAATATTAGAATTATACAGGTTATTTTTATATAGTAAAGTTCATAATAATATTATCAATAATAATAATTTCTAATAACAATATTATTATTATTTATTAGTGAATGGTTGGAAGGATTTGACAGTTTGAAAAGTAGAAAAATGCTTCGTACACAATATCATGCAGTAGAAAATACGTTATTAAATCCCTTGACTGTCAAATGGTAAAAAAATTGTTATGCAAATGACAACATATATATAAATTATTTATTTTTGGTTTTGCTATTTAAATTACTGCTTTACTGTTTGTATTGTGCTTTACTAAATAATTGAATGAAAGTTTCCTTCTTCATAATTTATTTCTTGTCTTCTTGTCTGAATAAGTTGTCACGTGATTTAGAATATTCCACCTATAGAATTCGAAAAGTGTGGCATCGATGGTTTTTTTTTTTTGTGAAATATATATAAGTAGAATAAATGATATTACCAATATTTATATTTAAAAAAAAAACTATTTTGATCTTTTCCATCGAGATAGATAAATAGCGCTTACTTTTTTTTTTACTTACTCATTTATTTGAATTTTTTCTTTAAAATTAAAAAATATTTTTATTGCTTTAAAAAAATCAATTAAATAATTTGTAATAATAAATAATTATTAACGAACCAAAAAAAAAATGACTGAAAATAATAACGCTAAAGGGGAAGTCAAAATCATCAATACTACTGATAATGAAAACAACACTGATAACATTGAAATCAATAAAAACAACAATGACAGCAAAATCAATGATAATGATAATGATAAAATTAATAACAATGAAAACGATAATAATAAAGCAGTAGGTACTTTGCCTGAATTTGAAGATAATGAGAATATTTTACAGGAAGGTGAACTACGAACTGTTTTCAATGATCCAGTAAACTTTAATGTCAAACATCCTTTATATAATGCATGGACATTATGGTTTGATAATCCGGGGAAAAAAGCTAACACAGTAAGTTGGTCGCAACATCTGAAGGAATTAATAACATTTGATTCAGTAGAAGAATTTTGGGGGTAAATTCCATTTTGTCTATTTTATTTTATAAAATATAAAAAATTTTACAAATATATCATTTTATTAATATATATATATATATTTATAGAGTGTACAATAATATTTACAAAGCTAGTGAATTATCTACCAATTCAAATTATCATCTTTTTAAACATGGAATAAAACCGATGTGGGAAGATCCAGAAAATGAAAGAGGTGGAAAATGGGTAATCCAATTTCATAAAAATAAAATTGGTGATGATATTAATAAACTTTGGCTTCATACGGTTAGTTATTTTTACTATTGTTATCATAATTATAATTATTATTATGCGATGATGATGATGATTGATTTTATTATTATTAATCCAGATATAATTTTTATATATATGTGTATTATATTATATTTGTGTGTTTGTATGTGAATAAAAAGACCAGAATTTTGGAAAGAACAATTAGAGAATGTTTTAAAAAGTATCTATTATTGTTATATTGAGTGAAGAGATTCAAATAAATCATAAAAAAAAAAATCTTTTTTCGTCATCATCATCGTATAATGTCCTTTGTGAACATATAATTTAATTAACATCATTATCATTCTGATTTTTATTATTAGATGCTTGCTTGTATTGGTGAAAGTTTCGAATATTCTGATGAAGTTTGTGGGGTTGTTTTTTCTGTTCGTAAAATTCTCTATAGAATATCTTTATGGACACGAACATCTAATAATAAAGCAGTCTGTGAATCAATTGGGTATGTAAATAATCGTATTTTATATTTATATATATTCGATAATTATCTATTAATTATTAATTATCATTAATTATAATTTTTAGACGACAGTTAAGGGCAACTTTAGAATTGAATTCAGGACTTCAACCTGAATTTCAACCACATTCAGAATCAATTAAAAGTGGTGCTCCTCGAGGTAAAGATTAGAAAAAATAAAAAATAACGAGAGTATTAGTGAGCATGTGCGCGTGACAAGGATTCAAAAAGAAGTAATAACGCTAATAATAATAATAATAATAATAATAATAATGACATCAATACTAATAGAAAAATTAATAATATAATAAATATTCACCAAGATAATGTTGATGATAATGATAATAATCATGAAGAAAATACCATTACT